TATTTCAAACGACTAATCCCGAGCCTCTGCAAGCTAGAAATGGGCTTGCCACTTCCTTCAATTTTTTTTTTCAATTTTTTTACTTCGAATACTCATGACATTTCATTACATCTCTATATTGTTTTTAAAAAAAAATTTTCTATTATTATTATTTTTAATGCAGAAGAGCATTTTTCATTTCTATTACTAGTGACGCAGCCGATAAATCTGTAATTTCTTTAATTCCGATTTTTTGAATCGGAGAAAAATCGGAAAAGATCACGTGAATCATTTTATGCGATTATAAAAATTGTTTAATCATTTTTAAAACGGTAATCTTGAATAACTGGAGATTAAAATGTGTGTGGAATTAATATTATTTCAAACAACTAATCCCGAGCTTCTGCAAGCTAGAAATGGGCTTGTCACTTTCTTCAATTAATTTTTTTATTTTTTTAAATTTCGAGTACTCATGACATTTAATTACATCTCTATATTATTTATTTATTTATTTATTTTTTAATGCAGAAGAGCATTTTCCCATTTCTACTACTAGTGGTACAACCGATAAATCTGTAATTTAATTCCGATTTTTTGGATCGAAGAAAAATCGGTAAAGATCACATGAACGATTTTATGCAATTAACAAAATTGTTTAACAATTTTTAAAACGGTATTCTTCATATGATTTCAAACTGATTTTTCAGCTCAGAGAAATTTAATTACATTATACTATTCTTTAAAAAATATAAAAATCCCATCTAATCGCGGGAGATTTAAAATTTCCACATGTATAAAACCGACAAATTAAATTTCCCGCGTTCATCGATGGAGCCGAAATGTTAAAGATCACGAGAATAATTCTAATTCGATAAAAAAAAATAATTATATACTGAAAAAAAAACGGTAATCTCCTGAAGAAACCGCATTGCCAATGAAATTGATAGTCCCAGTATCCACAAACCTCCGATAACCATTTCATTGCATAATAACGACTCTTGAAAATTCAAATGCGTATGAATTTTTTTTTTTCTATCATAACAATGATGCCGAGTAATAACGACTAACAAACCACTTGTAAACCAGTACTCTCGAAATCAACTGTTGGTTACACGTAAAACGAGAGTGGATAGAGTAGCGTAACTTCTTTTATTATTCCTTTCTCTGAGTTTGGTTCGCTTTCACAGAGAGTAATAATTACAATCCAGTAGTTCTCATACCGCAATGTGATTTCATATTTTTAAAATAAAAATGGAGGGTATTAATGGTTCCAAGTGGAGTGATTGAATGATTAAAAGTAGCAGTGGCTTGGAAAAAAATAAAAATAGATAATTCTTGGGTATAAAAATTTAATGTGGGTGTATCGTGGTAAAAATAAAGTTGATATTTTAAATTTAATTTTTTATCTGTGCAATTAATAAAAAAGTGGCAAGTTTGTGTGGTAATATGGAGGAGGCAATGGTTTTAAAAAGGGGCCAGGTTATATACCAACGAGTGTGCCAGACAGCTGGGAAGGCTAGGCAACTGGGCTTTTACGCAATCTAACATGCCAACTTGATGTGTGATATAACATATACTCAGCACACATGTACGAATAGATATTCTACTCTAGTTGCACTCTCGATACAATGGCCTATTTCTTTTTTATCCCCTTCTCCCCACTCATGGTCAGAATCTTGGTGAGAGCCCGGAGTAAGATGAACCAGATGGTTCAACCGCAGATTGTCAGCTTAAGCTCAATTAATGACCCAATTCATGTGCAAGTCTCTGTGCACTGCATGAACCAACAAATATTTATATTTCACTCAACTCTTGAAGTTATTTCTTAAAGATGTTCAACATCAAATCGATTTTTATGAAATTAGATTACCTGACCGTTTTTTTTTAACGTTCAAAATACATTATTTCTGTAGAAGAGGGGAAGTTTTTATAGCGTTCCACATTTTTGTGACGTCAAAGGAGTCGTTGGATAGGATTTTTGGATTAGGTAGGAAGGGGAACAGGATAATTCTTGATATAATTTTGACAAGAAAAATTACTGAAAAAATGGATAGTCCAGATCGGGATTTGAACCCGGGACCTTCCGATTATGCATCGGGTGCTCTCCCAACTTTTTTTTTTTAAAGTACGTTTATTGACCAAAAAAACAGGGTAAAGTACAACGTATAAGTAAACGCACCAAGAAATTTATTTCATAATCAAATAAAAGGATTCATAGTACCATGACATTCAAAATCGCAATTACTGATGATTAAATCATCTTCTAAATTCACAAACATTGTTTGCTAATTAATAAAGAAGATTAAGAAAACGCTAGTTTCAACAATATTGGTATTGGCTGACAATGTGATCCCAAAAATGGCTAGTAAAAAGACTTTCATAATTAAACAAAAAGAATAACGCAAATCAATCACTAAACTCTAATAAAATTTAATCTCAACTAAATTCATAATTCAATCAATAAAATCCGTAAAATATAGCAATAAAAAAATATATAAAAAAAAGAAAAATTCAATTTAATAAACAAAGATCGGATAACTTAAACAATTAGTCGTGAACTTTGTCATCTTTCTTCGTTCATCGAGGATATAAAAAGCTTTAAAAACTCCAATTACTGTTGAAAAAAAGAAATGTTGATAATCAGTTCGTCCATTTTATGCTAATAAAATTGTCGATATTTTTTTAATGTCCAGGTTTATTAGTGCAAGGCACGACTGCATACCGTGTACCCATGCAGTGACAAATTTGCATAATTAACCATGGCACGATAACGCATTGCATAAATTATGTAATGATCAGGTATTTGTGATCAGCTGATTAACAATTCAAAACGTTGTAGCCTAGTCTTTGTTGATGCTCTTCTATTGGAACCCATGGGTGATGACATTTGAAGTGCATGAATAAATTCAATTCTACGCGTTGGAATTTTCACAAACAAACGGTAGCACTGGTTTTTCATGATTTTTTTTTTTCTACGCGATGAAGAAAGTGCAGACATGATATTTGTGATTACTCATGTTCAGGTGTTTGAAGCTCACATGCTATTGGAAATAAAAAAAAATTACACGTATGCGGTTGAAACAAAGAGATCCTTGAAGGAATATAAGAAATTTATTCTTTCGTCGGTTAAACAGCAAATCCTTAAATTCCTCATTCCTTTTTAGTGAAGGAGGCCAATTGTTCCGGATTTGTCCAGGAATTTTAATGATTTCGATGACCCCCTCAATTAGTTTCTGATTGGGTAAAGGTAACGAGCATTAAATGAGGGGATGAATTTTAAATAGAGATCATATGGTTTGATTATTCTCGGTCAAATTACGGTAAAATTACCGGTCAATTGTCAGTCGTTATTTGAAGTTGGGTAGGAATTCCAAAAGGAATTTAACGTGCATTCATTAGACGCACAGCTGATTCATCGCTTCTGCAGACAATGAAACGGCAATGACAAATAAAAGGCCTGGCATCGATCCTTGAACCAAGTATGAAGTTTCAATGTTGCTGCAACTTTGAAATTATATTATTGCCAAATAGACGATTAACGTAGACGTTTTATTTCTACGACGAATCGAGCGAATGCACTTTCACTCATACTTTGAGCCAGCAATGTGATCTTTACCATCGATACTCTGTACATATTTGATTTTTCCCCTTTATATTGCCAAGCCATTTAACATTTTCTTTGTTTTTTTTTTAACGATGAAAATCACAGGTTGCGATCGAGTGAAAGCTGACAAATCGATGTTTTGTGAAGGGGAGAGTGTATTTTACGTGTGAAAGGTAGATGATCTGTATCTGAGCGTGAAAATGATGAGCCAATTATCGCGAGTTCAATGATTTTTTTGAAAATTCGAGTGTTTAGATTTTTCTGGAAATTTGATCATTGGTTGTGAGGGAAACGATTAAATTACAAAAAGATCTTTTGTAATTTATATAAAATATTGTGCTTGATGTGTCTCTGAATTTTTCAGAGATATTTTCCAAATAATGAAAAATCCTGATGCACTTGGTGGATACGACAGTTTCCATTACCTAAACATTAAATCCACATGCTCTATCTCGATTCAACATACCGGGGAAATTTGAAAGTCGGTGAAAGTTTGCTGTTGCTACTGTGGCCTTCTTTTCACCATAACTACTGTCTCTTGTACCACGTGTTTTCATTATTGCCCTTTCAATTTCATTGCCCATTTTCCCCTTCATGCCTTGGCTCCAAAGGTTGTAACAAACCCATCGGTCTAAGCTCATTCGAGTAATCCGAATTAAACATTGATTAAGAATTATCACATGACGTGAGTGAAAAAAAAACAAGAAGAGAATTAATTTATTCATTTTAAACTTCAGTTTCTTTATCAATTCATTGGGAATGTTTTGGTGGATGCATTGAAATTATAGGAGGAATTTGAAGAATCGATATTATGATAATCGATTCTCTTCATTTTTTAATTCAGGCAAAAGAGTATTTTAATAATTTATCGAACTGTCATTTCGGTTAGTTCATTTGATTTCATGAAACCTATTAAAGAATATTGCGACAACATTGTGACAACGTTGCTCTAACATTGCGTCAACATTGCCGCAACGTTACCCCAACATTGTTATTCCGAAATTCAAGCGGGATAAAAAAGGCATGCTAACGATTATTTCAAAACCTCATTAAAGCTTTGGTCCATTATTTTTCGGGTGACCGTAGAAAATTGCGTCAACATTACGTCAATGTTGCCCCAACATTCACCCCCAAATTGAACAGAATAAAACTGACATACGAATGAATACTTCAAACCTCAATAAGGCATTAATTCATCATTTGGCTGATCAATGAAAAACTAAAAAAAAAACATACACGAATTCATACATACGTACATGAAATAAAAAACGTCATGTCAGAATTGCTGAGCCCAAAATGAATCATGCTGACTTAAATCGAGTATTTAGAACTTAGCGAGGACGCGGCACCGATTGTCAGACAATTACCGAATTCTTCGGAATCAATAAAAAATAAAAATCTTTTTTTTGTGTTCCAGCTTCCGATGAATGTGATGAAACGTATCGGGCAGTTACGTTTGCTGGCCTGTCGCAAGAGTCCACGATTGGCTGATCAAAAAACGGATTTCGCGAAGATGGCTGATATGAATAGTGATCGTAAACGCGCTACGTCAGATTCTATTGATGTACCACACGTACCTGGGTAAGTCTTTGATTTTACAAACGTCATTCTTTTATCCCAGAGTTGATTCAGATAATCCATAAATATCAAGCTTCAAGAAAGGCACAAAAGAACTAGTCACCCTGAATTTAGCGAGTGCGTGATATTACGCATGTGAACAATGAATAATTCTTCCATTATCCAATTCATGTTGAAGAAATTGGTTGACAATTGCAGGAGAAAAATGGGAAAGTGCTGGGGATTGCTGGAACCCATGAAACGCCAGTCTAGTAACAGGAAATATTTGACACTGCGTGGGCACAATTTGTTTTTTCAATTTACGATTGATTGATTTTTAGATATCTTTGGGACAAGCTTGAGGAATAGAATGTAAACCTTGACATTATCTTCAAAACCCACTGGTTCCACACTCTCGAATATTTCTCGTTGAGATCTCAAAAATTTTCACCAAGTAACTGTTACTCATGAAAGTTCAAGAAATTTCGTCAGTAAATTTCACTTTTTCGTGATGAAATTTAACTAGACCGAACTGTTCAATTAAAAGTTCAATTATTTTGTGGAAATCTCTAGAAATCAGTGGAATTCAGATTAATATATTCCCGAAAGAAAATATTTCTTAAATGAAAGTTCTTGGATTGAGTCTCAAAGAATCAGAATTCCCAATTATAAAAATATTTTTTCAATTGCGTATTTTAAATCATCAAAACATCAAATGAAGAAATAATTTTCATAATTTTTCACGAATTCTATCTTTCCGCGGTTTTTTCTTCTCGTTAGCAAACCAACGATTTTTCCAGAGTGATTTCTTTTTTCTTTCTCGACGTAATTCTCTCTGGCATTGCACTGTTGCCAGGTGAAGAGACGAAAGGTAGAAAATAGGACCGTTAGGGGCAACCGTCAGGGAATTGCTGTGTTGCTTTTACAATGTTCACCCTCTCTGTTTCCCTTGAAAAATGTTATAGATAACTGCGAAAGACCTTTATTCGTTTCCTTGTCACACACCTGCGTCGTCAAAATTTATTTCACCTCTGGAAAGATTATTGTAAGAGGCAGCAATTTTGTTTATGCGAGGGGTATGACAATGGCAGAGTTGGTCCTCTGTTCTTTTGTGAAGGAAGAATTTTTCGAAGGGTGAGGACAAGGAGACGAGGGACCGTTGATCTTTCCAGGCTAGTTCTGCAAGTTACCTGAAACACCTCCAATGTATACCTGAAACCTCTGGGTTTGCTTGACCTATCCCAACCCCAAAGATAAAAGTTCAACAACTTCCTTTCTGCAATCTCATGATGAATCCTGCAATTATGAAATTTTCAGAATCCATTACCTATCCGATTTTTCATTAAATTAAATTTTTTATTAAAAATTCGGAATCGATGAATGTTGAGGGATTTTTAGGGCTTAGGATTTTTTTCACTTCATTTTCATTTCTTTTTCATTTCATTTTTTAACCTGACCCTTTCTGAATGTTTCATAAATTTTTGAAAAAAGTGGTCTTTAGGAAGGAGTGACTCGAAACTTGTCCAATTCAGTTTGAAATCTCGGATTCTAGACGACATTTTGTCGTCCACAGACAGAATTCTCCTGTAATTTTGTTGTATGATTTCTCAGGAACCATCTGCACCTTCTTTACCTTTGAAATGAATTTTTCCGGCGCAGTGCAAAAAAGGTTTTTCGCGGTTCCTGCAAGGTCACATTTTATTTTCGTACTGAAACTTTTCTTTATTCTTCAACCCTCGATATTGACCTTCAATTTTGACCCTCAACCCGAAATTTTTTACCCATCGACCTTCCCGTCTTATTTCCGAGTATTAATTTTGCCCCTCATCTTTGACCTTCGATTTTGACCCTTACTCCCTGACGCTCATTCTCAAAATTTGGTTTAGACCCTCAGTGTTTATTACCCTCATTTTTGACCTCTACACCCACAATCCAATACTCGTCGATGATTCGACTACAAATAATGAAAATGACGGCAGTATCGTGACATCGACGAAAGACAATAAGTGAACCTCTTGGGTTGGATAGAAGGCGTTGTACAGAGCTGAAAGACAACTCGCCGGCCGGCTTTATGGAATTGGGTCGATCAATACCATGAAGCTATATGGGTCAGGTGCAGTACGACCACGAAGTTGGATGAATCTCTATATATATACCCTCGCCTCCGCAACCCTCGTGGAATGCCTGGCACCGCCCTCCACCCACATCCTCCCATTAAACTCTTATTATTATTATTATCATTACTGAAAAGGGCTCGTACCACGAACAATAAATAATAAATACCGAGAATTCGAATGTCCTATTGGTGTACTCTACGTATGTATTTCACAATGTAATATTGCACATACGTATATGTACACTGCACGCGTCATGATTGCGAACAAACAACGGGGCTAAGGCCGCGTTCCGGGTTCTCGCGCTGAAAGTATACGACCCAAATTCTACGAGTTGGTGATTTCCAAATTCCTGGGGAATTCCGTCAATTCATTTCACCAATTTTTTTAATGCATTCGCTGGTAATCTAGAACGTGAGACGATGATGGGGACTATTTCTGGACATTTCGGTGTTCAATGTCAGTGGAAAAAATTGCACTTAGAGTCAGGATTACTTAGGTGGACTCATTTCAAGTATTTTTTGGGCATTAGTCCCATCTCCAGTTCAATTCTCATTGAAAATGATTATTGAAAATTTTGATCATTGGGAAATTCGAAAACATTTCGGTTTTCTTTGTTAAACAATTTGAGATTTTTCAATGAAAGTTTTGAATTTCTCGGGTAATATTACGCAGTTGCTTTTTTATTCTATTTAATATTAATTTGCAATCACAATTATTAATTGCAACTATTTATATTTATATTCAACTCCTGAAATCATTAATTTCTTTCATTTCTTACGAATTATTTAAAAAACTGGAGCATTTGTATTGCATGTAAATAATTTTTATTGTAGTAATTACAATAATTAAAAATTATACTATAAAACCGACAAGTGCAATTTCCTCCAACAAAAATTTCCGACTGAAAGTCGCGATTTTCGCGAAAATTTTGCGATAAATAAAAAAGAATTTTGTCTATACTCTGAAATAATCCATGAAACATCAAGTTTAAAATTTTTCTCGAATTTAAAACCGTTTTACTCGGCAATTATAACAGCCCCAAATCAGTGCACTCATTCGAAAAACTTGAGATAAGGATTGAGCTCTAAGATAAGATTGGGGAATGATTTTCGTTAAAACTTCATTAAAATATCGCGAGCCTAAAATTTCCATTGATAACTTCCGTTAAATTTGAGTTTCACCAAAAATAATGAAGAACGAAGAAAAAAAAGACGAATATTTTGACAGAAAAAAAAATCATATCAGTTGGATAGTTTTTGAGATATTCCAGAAATTAGATCTACAAACGAATGAGAATTTTTAAAAAACGGCTGGATCGCTTGAGCTGACATTTGGCACAGAGTTAGTCGTCATTAATACCTATGATCCGACGAAATGACGAATTTTTTTGAATTTTTTACGCCGGTTAATTCTACAATTTTCAAAAAACGTGACCACCAGTCAAACTTCGTATTTTTACGTTTCAAACCATTCTACATCGTTTCCAAGGAAAATTAAGAAATCGAAAAATAGAACGATTACAATGCTTCCATTCGGAAGCAAAAACGTGAATTTCCGGACAAAAAATAGAATTACGCGCAATAATTTGTGCCATTGAATGAATTCCCGTGGTTAACAGTTGATACGAGAGTGAATGGAATGACTGATGAATCCAAACAAAACAATTTTTATTCGTAATAAATGATGGATGACTGTGTCCATCACTGGTCCTTGATGAATATATAAAAGTCCGTCTGGGATACGTGCGTAAATGTTCATATAGTGAAACCGACCTAGCCCAATCCGGACATTGCCAAACTCGGCGATATCCTTGAAAGTAACGGACAAACACACGCGACAAGTGAGCTTCTCTCGCTTGATCATTGAGATACGTATGGGATGTGTATGTGTACGCATTGTAAACCAGGTGGGAAAAACGAAAAGGTGGGAGGAGAGAAGTGGCCCGAATGCTACGACCTAGACACGCTCTGTACTAGCCTTGCCATCGTCATCACGAGAAAAAGTAGGTATATAGGTGCAGGTGGTTAACTCTTTTTTTTTTATTCAAGTTATCTATATCACAGTACGCCAATTACGTCAACTTTTTTGACTCTAGCTTTTGGATTTTGTCTTCAGGGGCATTGCAGTCCTCAAAAACGAAATTTCACTTTTTTTTTTGGTGGAAATATGTCAATTGTAATCGATCTTTCGATAATAAATCGAAAAATAAGGATTACAGTTTATGTAATGATTACAGTCTGGTTTGGATAATTCGAGGGGTTGAAAAGAGGGTCAAATAAAGGGGTCAACGTCGAGGGTCAACGTCGAGGGTTATAAGGCTGTGGGTCAAGTCGTCGGGTGAAATAATGAGGGGCAAACAACCCTTCTAGAAGTTGCAATCGGTAACAGTCGGGTTTCGATAATTCGAGACGTTGAAAAGAGGGTCAAATAAACGGGTGAAAAAATCGAGGGTTATAAGGCTGTGGGTCAAGTTGTCGGGTGAAATAATGAGGGGCAAACAACCCTTCTAGAAGTTGTAATCGATTACAGTCTGATTTCGATAATTCGAGACGTTGAAAAGAGGGTCAAATAAAGGGGTGAAAAAAGCGAGGGTTATAAGGCTGTGGGTCAAGTCGTCGGGTCAAATAGTGAGGGGCAAACAACCCTTCTAGAATCAAGGGTCAAAAAATAAGTTTCAACAATTGTAGGTTAAAAATTCTGGGTCAAGAATGTAGGGTTTATATAAGGGTGAATAGTTACATAAATAAATAATAAAATCATCAATCAACGAAAAATAAGTTATTATTCACGGTTTAAATAATCATAAACAATCAAAATGAAAATCACAAGAGGTGAAAATTTTGGGGCATAATTGAGGTTCAAACAACATCGAGACTATCGATATCTCGAAACTCTGTCACACTAACT